AAGTATTTAGCATCTTCATTACAGTGAACATAATAAAGATGAAAGATAAAACAAAGGCTATCTCATCATTAGCTTTGGAAAATTGGGACAGAGAACAACTTGTGGAGATTTTCCTTTATTAGAGGGAGCAGACTCTTCCACAATGGGCAGCTCTAGGGACGTCTCTGCCATAATCAAGTGATGATGAGTTAAGGGCCAATAACACATATAGAGGAAAAGACCACAAAACATGGATTACCTGCTGATTCAAGGCATGGGCGGTCAACTCCCTGGGAAGGTGGAAGTTCTCCAATTGGCTGCGCAACCAAAGACACTTCGTCAGATGACTTGGACGAGGTAGCTTTGGTGGAAGATGGTGAAACATGGGCCGGTAAAGCCAGAGCTTTCGAGGGAGAGGTTGAGCTTTTCTGGAAAATTCAGGCAATACATTAACATATGGAAGATTCTCTCATAAGTAAACAAACTTAAATACAATTCTCTTGATGATGAGAGGAGCATCATCATCATCATTAGCATTGGCAAAGTTAAGGCTGACCTTTTGCTGTTGGAAGTACCTTTGGCTGTGCCGCTTGAGCATGAGGGGAACTAGATGAAGGAGCAGGACGCTTAACGCGAGCAGATGGGGATTTCGAAAGCGAAATGGGATCCCTGACATACATAGGAATAGCAAGAACATGAGAAGTGGAAGAAGTCTCTGGCTGTTCTAGCAGGTGAAAGGTACGGTTAGCATCAGTTGTGAATAGCCTACGTTTCACAGATGGCCAAAGTTGTTCAAAAAGAAGATGAATGGCAGAAGTAGGGTTGAAAGGGGCTAATGAGAAACCGTTTGTTAAAAGAATATTACGGGCATCAATGGCTTGTGCCTCTGTTTTATTAATAGTATGAAAACAATATGTCAAGCTTTTGGAAAAGCAAGGAGGAACCGGCCACGTTTGGCCAAAGCCCAGCTGACGAGCAAAAAACTGGGGAGCATATATTTCAATTTCGGCCTCGGCATTCGTTCCCGTTAAGATGTCATGGAACAATTCCCTTCCAACTAAATATTGGACCTAAATGGCAAAAAAGTGCTCACATCGTCCATGGTAGACAGATGTTGCACATAATTTGGAATTGAATGAGAAGAAAAAAGAAAAAAGGAAGAGACTGAATTCAAGTTATAAAAGAATGGAAAAAAACGTCCCTATTGGACATATTTACAGGGCTTAATTGGTTAATGGCCAACCCGTAACAGCTAGCAGGTCGAGGAAGAGTGGATGAAGCACCAAGTTGTGGAAAATATGTTCTCAACCACAATTGAGCGAGCTAAAGAGTCCCACTGCAAGTAGGAGATGCACCATTTTTAAATTGGTGTTGGAGGGAAGCCATGCTTCTATAAAAGGCGGCTAAGAATAATGAACAAAGGTCTAAAGGCCTACCACGCGTTAATTCATGCACTATGGGCAAGTAACTTATGGAAGGTTTAAGGCTGGGCACACAAAGAATGTATTTACAAAGCCAACCTTGGGAAAAAGTGACACGCTCATCGTGAGTAGGTTCAATATCGATTTTATTAGAAAGCTCCTGCATGCCCGAGTAAGAATCAGTATTTTCTCAAATTTTGGGGTAGCGCCGTAACCAAAATGGTGGGAGAAATAGTTTCGTCCAAAGGTGGAAGGTTTACTAGGGCTCCAACGTCCCTCAGAGTAATAGACATTGAGCCAAGCGGGAAAATAAAAGTATTATACTCAGAAGACCAAAAACTTAAAATAATAGGGAAAATACAGCATCATGGATTGGGGGATGGATGGCGATTTCTAATAAATCTGAAATCCTAATATGATCAAAAATCGCCTTAGTAGGGCCATGATTTACCATACGTGCATGCCACGTACGAAAAGTAGTATCAGTTTTGGGCCACGTGAGAATACTTTTCTCGCGGATTGGTTTTAACGGTAGAGAGTTCAGAAAATGAGGATCTTGAGTACAAGGGAATAGCCGACCTACTGCCGCTTGCCCAACTGATTCAACATCATTGAACGACGGGTCTAAGTAGAACTCATGAAGGTCAGGGTTAGCTGGTGAAAAGAAAATCGAATTGATGTACGACTTGGTAAGGAGGTTTTGGAAGTCTTCAAAACTAAGGGAGTTGTTGGAAGGGCTCTGTGAAGTCGCAATTTGCTACAAAGTACAGTCTTCATGAGGGTTTGTAAAAAGCGTAGTAGGGAAGCAAGAAGATGAACAATGATCTCTATAAGGAAAAATAAGCGAGCGATGCAAAGACGTGGGTAATGATGCGATGAAGTGGCGTGTTCTTGGTTTATAGGAGTTACTTGATGTTACACTTTTTAGGATGAAGAGGGTTACCGCCAAACAAAAATAATAATTGAGATTATCCGCCATTTTTGAGAATTCAAGTATTGCCAGAAAATACAAAAGAAGAATATGACATAAGATTAATACTTGATATTAATTTGGGGATATTGTGGGATAATTGTTGATATACAAAAATGAATCCCAATTAAATGGTCCAAAGAATGAAGTCAAATTAAGAAATTAGAAGGATGGACCCAAATCTAAGACAAAGTTACGTAATGGAGGCCCATCATTGCCCAAGCCTATGAGACGCCCAAGATCTGGGCGATCCTGTCATCGCTCAAGCCTGTGTGACGTTTAAAATCTGGGCGAATATAGTGTTTTTGTTACTGTTCGAATCAACGGTTATTAAAACAGTTAATGGGTAATCTTGTTACATTCCACGATTCAAGAATTTCGATTGCAAGAAGTTAAGAGATGGGGTAATGACAACGGTTGAAAACGGCAGTTTCATGATAAGTCACTCAAGATGGAGAATGTGGCTAGTTACAGGACGATGGACAATTTTTAGGAGTTTTCAAACGGTTTTACAAGAGAAACTGTCAAAAGAGTATAAAAGAGAAGGAACAATCTACAAGACAAGAAAAAAGATCAAACCAACTCTCAAATAGAGAATTATGTATTTCATTTCTTAGTTAACTTTCAATTATTTTCTTCTAGAATTCGTGTGCTTGCGCCCATTGGAGACATTTTGTTTCATCTATATTGTAATTTTCATCAATAAAATACCCTTCGTTGGGATTTTGTCTCGAGAGGTTGTTATTCTTTACACAATCGTTTGATCCATCTTTTAATTGTTTGCGAGACCCGATTCCACGCCATATGTGAAAACAAATTCGAAGTCAACAAGTAGCGTCATATGTTTCTGTCAATATTCCATAGTCCAAACAGTAATGTATACCAGTCCACCTCACCTTTTATTTCGCAAAATCTGGACCGCTCATCAAGCTTCTCACCTTTTATTTCGCAAAACAAATTGGACTCGATCACACTTGATAATTCTCCACCTCACGCCATTTTTTGCAACAGATTCCCGGAAAAAACAAGACCTCCATAATCCTACGGCTAAAACCCTCACATCATAAATTCCACGAGTATCAGCCGTTAAATCCAATTTTCGAAATTGGACCGTACGATTAGGTAATAAAGATAATCTCACCGTCATTTACAAAAATTGAATTTCAAAACCCAGCCAGAGAGGGAGGAGTGACTCAAACCCACCTACCCCTCTCCACTCTACCATCTCCTATTCATACACAAATATACGTAAACGTATACACGGATCGAGTTGGTTTTTGATTGAGGTTGAGTAGCAGCGGGATTTTGTAGAATAGTGTTTTGACAGATTTTTCGTTTGAATCTGAGCTGTGCGAGTAATGAAATAATGAAATTACAAATTTAGTGATTTTATGAGATTTCTGTTTCAAATTCGTTCGATTTGGGGGATTCGTGTGAAGAGTACAGTTAAATTCGACTTTTATTTATTGGATTTCTTGTAGAAGTTTGTTATTTGGTGGGTTTTGTTGTTTTCGATTTTTTGAATGGAGCAGGAGGGAGGGGAGCTCCCTCCAAAAAGTTCACCACAACTGGATGGTGCTCCGGCAGAGGCGGCAACGGATATTCCGGCGAGGAAGCCGGCCAGGCAGCTGGATTTCAGTGGTGGCGCATTGAAATCAGTGAGTTTGGCGATGACGGAGCACCATCAGCCACAGCAAATACCAAAGCCGAGTCAGCCACAGTTAGTGAAGCCTAGACAGCTGCCGAAGCCACCGCAGCTGCAGCAACAGATGATATTTATGCCGAATCAACAACCTCCGCCACCAACTCATCCTTCAGTGCGGCCTGTTGTGTGAGTCTCTCTTGCAATTTTGAATGTCCTTGAATAATTTAACTTTTTTAGGGAGAAATTCAATCTCTGGGAGCTGAGGTTTACAAAATTGTCGCGCAAAGGGGTTTGTTGGTTAATTTGTTCACTTCGATTACAAAGTTTTAATCTTTCATCCTTTAATTGATCATACTTCACCATTTGAATAATACCAACATTGAGAGACTAAATGATTTTGAGAACGATGTCATCAACTTCTCTGCCCACTC